ACCGAAGCCCTTTGTTCCATTTGGATAAAAAAATAATACAATAGACTCATAGTTCAAAGAAGAGTCCAACCTCTTTTCGAATGATTTGAATTAACGCATTGCTCTCTATACTATTTTTTTTATTCCTTCACGTTCTCAGTAGAACATAGGGCTTCAAGCTACAGGCTTGAAGTTTCTGTAGCAGTGTTTATTTTTACAGGATGGGGTTGCTAGCCTCATGCCCAACTTTCCCTGTTAACCAGCTTTAGTTCAGGCTTAGTGAGGTAAAAGAGTGCGCCGGCCGGGGATCGAACCCCGGACCATGTGCATGGTCGGCGAGCGTCCTAACCGCTATGCCACCGACGCATTGCTCTCTGTACTATAGGGAAACTCAATTGAGTAACCCACCTATGCTCGGTCGAAATAAGTTTGTCTGGTCTGGTTGGGTCACTGTTTATTATCTTGGCTGGCTATACGTTGTGACTGATGAACAGTTTACGTGATGAACTACTAAAATCAGACCTGCCAGCCGATGAACTTACATTTATAAAAACACTAGTTAGTCTTTTTATGCAGTTGAATCTCTTTCTCTGTCATAATTCAAATTACTCACCATCATTATTCTATGTATCGGTTACGCAACAGCCTATCCAAATTACCATAACTGCTCCAGACATTACTTGGTGTCCTGTCTTTCCGGGTTGTTTTTGTTCTTTTTGTTTTACTGAATAAATTATACGACACATTTTTCGTTAGTAGTTTTATTATTATGCACTATAGAAACCCATATATATAAAATTAGAGAAGTGGTTGTATATTGCTTAGTAGTTTATCACTAGTAGTACTCACTCATTAAGCCTAACAGCTAAAATAAACAAACACTAATTTCGCTTTCTGCATGCTTTTGTTTCCATGAGACAGTATCTGCCAATAGTGACTACAACTCATTACTTATGCAAAAAAAAGAATCTAAAATATCTACCAAGGTGGTTAACTTAAAAAAATCGTTTCATTCGGTTTGGATATTTACAAAAATATAAGATGTATGCGAAAATGTATAGGAGAAATATTTATTAGGTGAAGACGGATGACGAGTTTTATAACAAGCCAACAGTCAAAGATTTCATGAACTAGTGACTAGGGTCTAGCATTGGTGGTTCAATGATAGGACGCTCACTAACCATGCCTCATATGGTCCGGGGTTCGACCCGCGGCCAACGCATTCCAAAATCTCACCGGTTAGCCGGTAAATAAGCTTGGTAAAGAGGGAAGGTTGAGCGTGAAGCTAGCTAGCAACCCCACCCTATAAAAAGACATGACCACTGCTACTGGAACTTCAATCTTTAAGCCCTATACTGTGCTTGGAACGCAAAGAAATAAAATAAAACAATAAATAAATAAAGGTGCCATCCATGTCTTAGTCAGACGACAACTAACTGCTCTTTTACAACGTAGTCAAATAGTCACAATTTTTGCATCAGTAACCTGTATTTGGTAGCGATGAATCGCATGTCTAACGTGCCTAGATTATTGCTTAAATTCTCTTGAAGGACTGTGTTGTATTGATGATTTCACCTAAAATAGACATTCTTATGTGTGTTATGTATCTCAATGAGATGTTTCGCTACTAATAAGTTTATTCCCGAAACATCAAAGTGAACAGTGGTCACATGCAATAGAGTGTGTGTGAGAAAATTAAATAAAAATGGTGACATTGGTCATCCCTGACGGATTTCACTGGTCGTCTGCTTGTTCTCATCCAGCAACTAGAGTTCTAAGAGTTTTAATACTGCTTTCTTCCTACATCTCTCTTCAACTGTGGGCGTGGGCATACACGTGTTTAGTTGGAATCCACTCAGGTGTTCTAAAGGGAAGAAATATCATTTCAACTCATAAAACAAACAGTATTATTCATCTGTTTTAATCTAGTAAAGCTTTACAATTAAACTGAACTCAAATCGAACTTCACCTGAGTTTATCTAAAATGGTTGTAAGTCTTGTGTTTATTTGAATGATAAGTGGAATGAGATTTATACTAGAGTGTCCTTTGTTCATCCTTATTATTTGTCAGTGAATATAATGTCGGTAGGACGCAGAGTCGACTGTGTTGTTCTCTACTGTGATGAGCATTGAACTTATTTCTCACTTAATCGGATGACTTCAACTGACCACAACAGTGGGATTTTTTTTATTCCTTGAGACTTGAAGTTTTCAAGTCGCAGAAGTATCATGATATCTTCTTTACTATCAGATAGTAAATTAAGCGAGGTTTTTGGAGTGTATCACTCGGAAGTCAAACCTTGGACCGCGTACGTGGTTGGTGAACATTCTACCACTGAATGACAAATGCACAACAACGGGGGATGGTCGTAGTGAAATTATGCCTCTCGGCACATTACACTGCATTATTTTGGAATCACCTCATTGAATTATTATTATTATTATTTCCTTTAATTCCTAGAGGAACATAGGGTTTTAGCCGTGCGTCTCCATTGCGTTGGGTTTTCTGCTAGAGTTTTCACCTGGCTCAAAGTCTGCCCACATGCTTTCATCTCCTCTTCTCATGACCACCTCCAAGTCACCCCCACGCTGACTACCAGATCACCGCTTCCCTTTCGGGTTCCACTCAAGGGCTTGTCTAGTAACGTCACTTGATGGTTTCCTCAGAGTATGGCCAATCCATCTCCATTTCTTCCTGCCTATTTGTTTCACAATCGGTTCCTGCTGAGTTGGTTCGCTCCCAGAGATCTCTGTTGGTGATCTTTTCTGGCTGGCCATCTGATCTTGAGTATTGAGCGAAGACAACTGCTAATGAAGGTCTGTAGTTTGTTTGAGGTGCTCTTTATGACGCGCAGTGCAGGTCTCTGATCCGTATAGTAGCACTGACTTCACATTGGAGTTGAAAATCCGGATCTTGTTTCTCATGCTGGGGAGTGCTTTTGACCTCCACACAGACTTGAGAGTAGTGAAAGCTTGTCTTGCTTTCCCGACTCTTGCCTTGATATCCTCGTCAGTTCCGCCTGTAGTTGAAACGATGCTTCCCAGGTAGGTAAAAGAGGTTGTTTCTTTCAGATTCCTCCCATTTATGCTGATTTTTGTCTATTATTGTTGCCCAGGAATCTTCACCACCTCTGTTTTCTCTATGTTCACCTGAAGTCCTGTCTTTGATGCTTCTTCTGACAACTTGTTGCTTTTCACTTGCATATCTTCCAGTTTGTGGGAAATCAGACATACATCATCGGTGAAGTCCAGATCCTCCAAGTTTTTTGTGTGAGTCCATTTTATGTCTGTTTCCTCATCGCCCGCTGTTTGTCGCATTATCCAATCTCCAACAATCAGGAAAATGATTGGCGATAGTAGGCAGCCAGCGTTGTCTTCCCCCCTTTTTCACTTCGAAGGATTCCGTGAGTTTCCCGTTGTGGATTACTTGGCATGCAACATTGTCGTACAACTCTTAGATGAGATGTATAATTTTCGATGGCACCCCGTAGTAGCGAAGTAGTTGCCAAATGACCTTTCGATGGACGCTGTCGAAGGCCTTTTCAAAGTCAATGAAGTTGAGCGAGGTAGAGAGATGACTGCCATTCCAAGCTTCGTTCAATGATGATCCGTAATGTGGTGATTTGATCATTGAATAGCGTAGTCAAATAAGTTAACGTTGGCGTTGACGGCTGGGAAATCATTTGAATTATTATTTTTATCGACTGATAAATATATTCGTAAGCCTACGCTATACACTTATTTTGAATTTTTCTGTGAACAGTTGAAGAAAAGCGTTGATTTCCTCTGCTCATTTAATCTAATAAACTAATCCTATTAGAGAGAATTTATAATAAATTGATGGAATTACATAATCTTATTAACTTAAGATTTGCCGGTTGGAACGAATTTAGATAGATATACATATACTCAATCAAATTATTGCCAAACAGTGAATTGTCTATTCATCACTTCCTCTCTAAATCATATCATCAAACAACATTCAACAATTAAGTAATGCCACGTTATATGTGACATTCATTCCTCACTGTTGTCTTTTTTGTCATCTAATCATCCATGTTGGATTGCCTTTTACTTTACTTTCTTTTCTATTTCAATATGGCGAAAATGTTCATTCAGACATCTATAAAACACAAAATAATTGAGCAAAGGATATCCTTTCCGATAAATTCGTCTTCTGGCTCTACAATTATATATCTGTTTAAATACATAGAATATTCTAGAATAGTAGTCAATAACAATATTAGTGCTTTTTAAATAATATCGATTTGTAAAGTAAGTAATTTCGCCTCTTCCATGTGTATCTACCAATTTAACTGCCCCTGTGGAGCCAGTTACATAGGCCGTACAATTAGGCGTGTTTCTCGTCGAATTTCCGAACATCACCCTGCCTGGTTAAGCAAAGGACAAACAAAATCTATTCGCAGCGCTATTCTATCTCATATTGTGGATACAGAACACAAGATTGATGTTAACCAGGCTTTCAAAGTAATTTACCGCATACCGACAAATCTCAATTTCGCCTTAAGAGTCCGATTACTAAATATTGCTAAGGCTGTTGGAATCCATATTAAGAAGCCTAATTTATGCGTCCAAAAGAAGCTAGTTCAGACATTGACCTTACCCTGACCATCCAGGTTTGCATGATCCTGAATCTTTGTGGAAATTTCGTTAATTTTAGTTGATATTCTATTTGCTATTATATTATTATTATTATAAATTAAGCATCTTTAATGAACTGTGGTAATTCCACTGATCTTACTTTACAAATCGATATCATTTAAAACCCACTAATATTGTTATTGACTACTAATCTAGAATATTCTGTGTATATAAGCATATATATCAATAATTGTAGAACCAGAAGAGGAAATTATCGAAAAGGATATTCTTTGCTCAATTATTTTGTATTTTCTATTTGTTGAATATACTTATCTTGTATATTTTGTGTTAAGTCATTTCTTTATTTTATTCTGTTTCTTTGTTCTTACCCCTCCTCCTCCCACAAAACAAACATATAGTTTGGGAAAATACAGTGTATGGGAAGGCAATCCATATTGTGAACCACACTATCTGGTCTTATTCAAATCATTTGGTAAGTTGTTGTTTCTTTTCAAAGACTATTATGTCTACGTTAATATTTAATCTGTAGTCACCATTCAAGGACTCTTATTTTATGTTTATCAGCATTAAGTATCAAGGCGATATACATGTATCATCTTGTTAAAACGTTTTTGTTCTTTCAGAAATTGTATCTTCAGTCCTATCCGTGTAGAGATGAGGCTGGGTGGTGGCTTAAGGACTTGACTCCCAACCAACCATCCATCTTAATTTCTTTTTTATTATAGCTTAATTCCACACAGTACTTTTCGTACAAGTATGGAATTTTCAGCCTGTGAAATCGGTAGCTCAAATTTTGCAGACCGACCAATTGATGATATCAGGTGTGCGTCGGTAGGGGGTCGAACCGCGGACCATTTGCATGGTCGGCAAGAGTCCTAACCGCTGTGCCACCGACCAACTGACTAGTGTCATCAGCCTTCATACAATAAGTGTGTGGCTCATGTAGACCCACACGTAAAAAAATACGTGACTGAAACAATCAAATCCTTATTAGCATAGGAGAAGATATATTGTATACATTCTAATTGTGGTGAGAGCTGGCTGTTAGCCAAAGTTGGTAGACAGTAATTGACGTCAATGTTTATGTCCCCAATATTGATGGTGAGAAAATGAGAACAAAAGCTTTGCGTAGGCGGATACAGTTAGCATATGGATGATCTGACACAGCCAGCCACAAAGAGATGCAAGGTTAACTTTCTGTGAGAAACAACCAATCAAAAGACTGTATTTTCTACTAACAATAATCTACAATGATGTACATTAAAATCTATAAATATGTGTTGATTTTCCTTAATAAACGATCTGTTGCCTGGCCTTTGTCCTCTGTTGTTACGTAATGTCTTACTTGCAGTAGTAATGCTGTGAATGCACACAGTAAATTTCCAGTCGTTTCTGCTTTCTGTTGATTATTGTTCCAATTTGATTCGAATTTATTTTACTTAAACACCATTGCACTACAATTCTGTCATAATTTTTAAATAATTAAGACTAGGAGGAATATCAAGAGTCAATTAAAATCTGTTTGTGATTACAGTTAGAAGAATAAATTTTAACAGATTACCACTATTTCAATACAGATTCCTCCATGAACCTATATTACTCAGAGGGTTATTAAAAGCCACAGAGTACTTAACAGATGTTTGCTACAGTTTTTGAACTATTCAGCAGTGTGCAAGAACGACTGATCATAGCCGCTATCGATTGAAGGACATGTGTACTGTTCAGCAGTTCGCTCCGTCCTCCTTTATGACCATAAGACATAACCACTGAAAGTGGAAGACATGGTGAAAAGGCTAGCTGTCTTTGATCATAGGTTTCCACCATCTATCTCCAGTTCTAGGTGGTATAATAGGGTGAGTAATATTGGGGTTAGTCGTGAAGTATCAGGTAAGGAGGGAAAGTGGATCGATGAGGTTGTGAAGCTACATCGATCGAGATGGCTAGAACATGTGTTACGGATGCCTAGCCATCTCTTTCTTTGATGAGCAATATCAACTAACATAAGATGAGGTTGGAAAAGGGCTAGTGGTGGTCAAACCAAAAGTGAAAACTTTGACAGTTAGTCTGAGCCACGTAAGTAGGTGTAGACTGTTTGGCTGCGGTCCTCGGGATTTTAAAGACTAATAGCTGGAGATGTCCGTCGGTGGCACAGCGGTTAGGACGCTCGCCGACCATGCACATGGTCCGGAGTTCGATTCCCGGCCACAGACGCACTCCTTTGCTTCGCTAAACCAGAAATAAAGCTGATAAAGAGGAAAGGTTGGGAATGAGGCTAACAACCCCATCCTGTAAAAATAAACACTGTTACAGAAACTTCAAGCCTCCAGCTTGAAGCCCTATGTTCTACTGGGAACGTGAAGGAATAAAAGAAATAGCTGGAGATGATTGGTGATATGCCTCGAAATCGTTCTGAATGGCTGGCGTAGATGCATTCACTGTTTGTGATTTGCCATATCCATTGAACCTTATTGTTTCGCCATGTTACTATTCTTAACCCCTCACATGTGTGCTCACTGTCGTTCCTTTGAATCTCTTTTGTCCTTCTTTGTGTACTACATGGAGCTTGGCAAGCTCTATTTTGAAACCAGTCAGTCATAGCCAGTAGGGTTTACCATGTCGAATATAAAGTTGATATTTATCGATGGCACTAGCTGGTGATGCTACCATATCCCAGTTTGATGGAAGTTTAAACTCTCGGATTACACATAGCACTAAAATCCAGTGACTTCAATAATGGCCAACGGGTTCGTCCTGCAATCTGTCTTCGAGGTCTGGTAGATTTGTCGTTGATATGCACTGTGAAAGAGTCCAAAAACTAGGACGAAACAAATGTTCAAATACGCCTTAACTTTCAATGGTTTTCACATATTAATTAACACACTCAATATATAACTATGAATTGTCCCTTATTCTTATTGACAACCCGTCAAGACGTTAACAGTTCAGATTGTGATAACCACTAAGAATGCTAATCTTTGAGTATGTTTACAAGTGCATTATCAAATATTTCTGTATTCATTCATACAATCAATATATAATTTACTTTACAAATTATATTTCTTCTCTAAAATCATAATTTTCATGATGTAAATTAGTCTTCTCTTACCAATGGGACTTGATTTGCATTCATTAATAACGCAATTGTATGACGTTGATAAGAGTGTTGACATTTAAACAAGCCAAGGCGCAAAGCCACAGTTATTATTATTGTTATCAACATTATATTTATCATTATTATTATTATTATATCACCTGACCAACAGTGTGTGCTGTTCTGTTACTTTTAAAATAAAAATGTAAGAATTGAGCCCTACTCAGCTGTTCAAAAAATACTTTTACATTTTATCATATAATTAATTAACATGTTGAGAAGGGAATACTTTGTTGATAATTAGTGCATTTATGAATTAACCGTCATGATAAGTAAAGCTGACCGATAGTAGTAGTAGTGCAGTAAATATTAATGAATGATTTGTCCTCATAGGTGTAACGATATGTTGTTGTAACGTGTAGTTGTTACATCATGCACACACACACACGCATGGTTGCATGTCACTCAAAAATGATAGCAGTAGACCCTGGAGTATGTGTATAGCCAAAGCTTGATCGCAGATAAGTAGAGGCGTTATCTGGAGCTGCAAATAACTGGTTAATCTCTTTGATTTTCGACTCCAGAAAGTCATAAATTTGAACACTGCTCCATCTATCAATGAGTGTTGGGTAATACTGTCAGCCTCTTGTATAAGAAATAGGTATGGCTCATTGCCAAATTGAATAAGAATGAGATTGGTTATTTCTGTTGTTGAGTCGCGCGTTTCAGTTTCACGCTCTACTCTTATTTTTTTTATCACTATTATGTAATATGTCTTTATTTTAGTTTACGGTTCTTAAAATTATTTTCATTTCTTATCATATATATATATATATATATATATATTATTAAGTGTGAAGTTTCTTTGTCTAGACTGTTACATAGTTCAATCCTATTTCGGTATTGTCTGTCTGGCTATCTCTCCGACTCTGCATTGTTTTATATACATAAATTAAACCTCGTTCCAGTAGTGAATTAAGAATTCTTGCAAAATATACGCAACATTCTTTAGATTTGTGATTAAACAACAGTTCAATCTATAGTCAAAGACTGCATATTTCAATAAAGAGAAATAATAGCAAAGTGTAGACAGAGTTTGGGTCGAATTCATGTGTTAAGAGACTCCACTTTTAGGTCCCTCTGAGGTACACAACCAATGAATAGTCTACCCTGTATGTTGTAAAGAACTGTGTGTGTATGTGTTCATGTTATATTCATCAGTCAGAAAAGTATACCGATGATGTCTATGGTGTCCCAGATAGGTGGAACTGACAACAGTGATTGTTATTTACAGTTCTGTTCAGATGTTGGCTTGCAGGGATTTGATTGGTCAGATGTTTGATCACGAACTAAAATCAGTTAGAGAACCGCTGGAAACCAGAGAGCACTAAACAGCCAGCTGCTTCGTCATGCTTTGAGACTCTTCAGCTTTACACACCCTTCAGGGTTGGAACCCACAGTTTTCTGTTTACAAGACGAGCATATAATCCATTTAGCCACTTGAACTCGATTTAATGGCCCATGAATTCCAACTTCTACGGATTCGCGACATATATAGCGCCAACCATCAGCCAAAGTTATCGGCGGATAACTGTCCTCTTACTTGACTTGAAGGGCCTCACTAGTCAGAACTTCTTATACAACTCTAGGTAACTTCTTGTATAAAGCCAGTTGTAAGTGAGCATCAGATTAATTGTCGAGTGTTGGTTTGCAAGGATTTGATTGGTCACTGATTTGATTACAAGCTGACATCAGAAAATCACCTGTTTCCAGACAATAATTTCTTTTTTCAAACGCAAGGAGAGATATTGCCAGATCCGAAATCCTTACAATCCTCAATATTCTCCCGCACATTTCCGTTAATTAATATAGTTTCTTCCTAATTCTGTTATTTCCTGGTCTTTATTTATTCTTTTATGTGAAGCTGGGCGGGCAATTTGAACTACGGCACTTTAATGTAAAGTTCTACGTGGAAAATTTAGTTCAGACTAGTTTGAATAATACGTCAATATTTTCAAGTCATTATATACAGCTAATTATAAATTACACTCTCTGAATTACTTTTTTGTTTTACAGGACACTATGATGGCACTGCACCAAAGACTTCAAGTACAACATATGATGCAACATCTCATAGTAAGTATTTTTCATATATGTATTATACTGATTTAATATTTACACTTTGTGAATGAACCTTATTCATGACGAGGAGAAAGAAAACGTTTTGATGCGAAACGTTCATCTGTTCACCTGCTTCGTGGAACTAGTCATCTTAATACTCAGTGGGATGGGTGTGTATGTGTGTATGTATTCTGTTGTCCCCACCTTATCTGCACTGTTTTGTCTCAAGTGAATGTTCAAATAATTTGTAGCTGTGTTTCTGAATTTCTGAGAAACTTTTTAATTGCATTCCAGGAAAAAGTGTAATTTTCTAATTAATAGACAGAAGACAAGTAGTTCAACGAAGAGTCTCTTTTCGGCGAATCCATTTTCATAGCTGTACTATCGCAAATATATATATGGTTGTTTTGTATGTGTGTGTACATTAAATTTGTCAAACGGAAATACAATTAGCAAGTTCAGATGAATTGGATGTTGATATATGAGGGTAGTAACAAAAGTGATAAGTTATCACAAACGATTGTTAAAGAATAGTTACGTAATAATGTGAATAGTTTGATGAAAGAGTTGCTCTCAGAGTGTACATGGAAACAAAATATACGGAATTGCACAAGGGTTTTAAGTAGAAAAATAAGCATACAAACAGAAGTTAAGTCCAAACAAACAAACAAACAAAGAAAAGTTAAGTCAAATCAACAGAGTTGTTACCATGAGAGTAGAAGTGGTTGAATAATTTTCTTTTGTATGCATAGTTCTGGTTCCTCCAGCTGAATGGCTAGGGCTTCTGCGATGCAAAGAAGACGGAATCGCACTGTCTTTGGAAGGTTGTTCTTCACTTTGTAGATTACTTTGAAGAAGGCTTTTGTTGAGATGGAATGACCAGTGTTGACGAGATGTTCGATTATTGCACTCCTTATGCAGCCATTACTTCCTTTCTGTAGCCACGCTGGATAGTGTTCGTTGACCCTTTTTGACAGGATGCGCGTTGAACGACCGATGTACCTGGCTCCACAGCAACAGGTGAAATGATATACACAGAGAAGTGGTCAGGTGCGGGATCTTGTCCTTTGGGCTTCTGCAGATTAGCGGGCGACTAGATAACTCTACTCTCAGTGTTGCCGCAAGGAAATTTCTTCTTAAAGAGGTGGAAATTCTCCTTCTAAGGACGTCACTGAGTAGGTCTCCTTTGAAATCAAGGTTCATATAAAGTATTGACCCCCTTGTATCAACATCCAATTCATCTGAACTTGCTAATTGTATTTCCGTTTGACAAATTTAATGTACACACACATACAAAACAACCATATATATATTTGCGATAGTACAGCTATGAAAATGGATTCGCCGAAAAGAGACTCTTCGTTGAACTACTTGTCTTCTGTCTATTAATGTTCAAATGGGGATTTTTCATGAATTTCCTAATTTACAAATGATGCTTAATTTAACTAACTTACTGGAATAAACTTTAGCTATACGCTATGAGTAGCGAGAGTGTCAACTGAAGAGGGCAAGTCGATCAATAAGGCTGTGAAATTATGTCGACTGAAATGGCTAGAATATATGTTGAGAATACCGAGAAATGTCAGCTGAGAGGATTAGGCTGGAAAAGAATTAGGAATAATCAAATCAAAACATGTCATCAATCTATGAATTCTTTGATTGTTGGTTTGAACTATGCAGGGAGGTGTAGACTGCCTGACTGGAGTCCTTGAGTCGTAAAGAACCAGTGGTGCAGATGCATTCGCTCTTTGTAATCTCCAAAATCCATTAACTGCTCATGTTTTTCCATGTTACTATTCCTTCTTCCGTACGTTTCTGTGCGTTATAGTTCTGTTTCCAGTTTTTTTTTTCATTTTTCCTACCTTTGTGTTCTGTATGGAGTGTCGCAGCATGAAATGCTGCACTTCAAAGCAAAGTTCTTTGTTGAAAACTCAGTCAGTCAGTCACTGAATGAACTGTGTGTAGGCCTAATACTTCATTCTCATTATTCACTCTACCAGGAGAATGAGAATAATGTCCCAAGTATATATTGTAATTACTTCAAAACAGCAGATGACGTGTCCCAAATGGGATGATTTCATTGATATCCATGAATGACAAAATAATGTGTCAGATAATTCGTTTGGGAAATGTTTACTAGCTAGTCAGTAAAGTTTGTTAACCGAGTCGGAAGAATGTGAACATTTCTTGCACACAGTGTTAACTGGTCTTAATAATGTGTTATACTGTTATTCTCAAATTTGCTCGTACAAGTAAACAGATCACTCAATAGGTTGCTTCGTTAGCGCTTCATATAATGTGTAATTTGCTTCTTCAGCTGTTGTTTTCATTGTGGTGGGTGTTTTTTCCTCTAAAAGCTGGTTACTGGATGATCCCATTGCAAAACTGTCTCGATAGCTTTCGACCATTACACTCCGTGACAGATCTGAACATTATAATTTAGCATAGTCTTTTGTAGCTTAATAGGCATAGTGGTAGGATCTCGGAATTCAGCACAAAGCGGAACTCATTGACATAATATAACTTTTTTTTCCGCGGATTGTGCCTAACAGTGGAATCCAGAATGCGCGTTTCGTACTGTTTGAAACTCGTCATCTGGATATACCTGTAATCCTCAGTGAGACACTGTGACCCCACTGGAACTGGAACCCAGTACTCATCGTTTCAAAAGCTAAAGCCTTGTCGACTAGATCACTTGGACTGCAAGGGCCACTTCTTCTGCGATGGGTATCATCGGAGAGCCTAAACAAATAACTTCCTTTCCTCTACGCTGCACATGCACCTCTCTAAAAATAATCAGTAACATATAATTCTACTTCCTCCTGATTTGCTAGCTTCAGTCCATCTACACTGGTCTACATTCCTTGCCCTTACCCCATCGTGCACACATAAATCATTCGCTTGCCTATTCCTTATTTGTAAGAAGTCTAGAGTTATCCTTCTGTGTTAATCAAGATATTGACTGAGAAATAGATGAGTAGGTTAGATAAGATTTACTCTTTTTTACCAATGAAATTATTGTTTGTTTATTGTTAACTTTAGCTGTCCGGTTGACCTATTTTTATGTGAAAATTTGAAATACAAAACTGACAATACACGTCATTTTACCCTTTCGTACCCATGTTTAATATAATAAAACTTCTACCCTTTGTAGGATAACCCTAGGTATTGTCTAATTATCCTAATGCTTAAAACACGCATGTACACACCCACGCAAAAAACCATTTAGAATCGATGTTATTCGTCTAGGTCAACAACAACTCACACTAACCAATCAGATGAACAGTCATATTTTTAAGCTAATAAAGTAGGCTACGACTCAGATATTGAGTATTGTGAGTATGACAGGAACGAATGAGGCTGATCTTTTGGATGAATGTATGTTCCCCCAAATATAGTTGGAATATTTTGTGATATCTGATTACTACTTTTAGTTTTATTCTTTATGATTGTGTAATAGTTTATAATGTCCCAAAATAGTCTTGATATTTGGTACTAATGAGTTTATTCTTAGACAAAAAAACTAAATTCCTCTGTATATCGGTTGGATGATCTGACATCAGACTGATAAATCTTACAGATTATCATGAACATTATTGAACTAGTCATGTATTAATTTTGACCATTGGTTATATCTTTCTACTAGGCTAAAATTCACTAATAAGTCAAGCTTTCTTTGTTCGTTAGCTTAACAGATGGCGTGCATTTGTGATACACATTAACCTACTTCACCTCCCATCCACACTTTCCTTATAAATGACTAAAAAAATATCATAAAGCATCTGCTAATCGTGCATATTAATACTAGACAATTTATCATTATTATTATTGTTATTATTATTATCGTCATTATTATTCCCTTGGATTCTGAATACATTTCCATTTCATCATGTTTTCTTCAGCCCTCTTAATCTGGTTCCACAATTTCCCATAATCCCTCATCTCCTCCACGTCACCTTCAGACACCCAAACAATCGTATCCCACTTGCGTTTCACTTGAGGGTGCCTGCCTATTGCATGGTGATACTCAAAAGTCTCTTCAACGTATATCTAATTCGTCGTCATTTCCTTTTAAATGTTTGTTGGTTGGTTTGTTCCTGGAATCCCTTGTTGTTAAATCCTTTCTGGTTGATCATCTGATCTTCAGTATGAAGTAAAGGCGGCTGTTGATAAAGTCTACAGTAGACTTTTGGAAATGCTTTCGGTGACGTAGGCACCAAGTCTATGAACAATATGAGAAGCATTGACTTGACACTCGTGTCAGAAATTCTAATCTTGTTCTTTATGCTGAGTACAGTAGATTTCCACACAGATTTCAGATTAATGAAGGTCTTTGTTTGCCTATCCAATCCTGGCTTGCTTCGATATCTTCATCCGTGCTACAACCTGTAGTTGAAATGATGCTTGTCTAGATAAGTAGAAGAAGTATATTTTATTCCTTTACGTTCCGAGTGGAACATAGGGCTTCAAGCTAAAGCTTTGAAGTTTCCATAGCAGTGGTTTTGTTTTTATGGGTTGAGGTTGCTTGCCTCACGCCCAACCTTCCATATTTACTGGCCTTACAACCGGCTTAATGAGGTTTAGGAGGAGCGCGTCGGTCAGAGATAGAATCTCAGACTACTTGAGTGGTTGGCAAATATTCTACCCCTGAACCACCGATGCAATGAGTGAAATAAGTGACCTCCTTTAGATTTCTCCCGTCTATAATCATTGCTGCTTGTTAATGCTGATTAGTTATGGATATCAACAGTAGATGACTGATTTCAACATCACTTGTGTGTTGTGTAACCACTGCGTGAACAGCGTTAATTAACTGAGTTAATTAATCTCAGTCGACGACAAGTACTCATAAGTATTATATATATATATATATATATATATATGTTGACACTCAAAATGTTCTGACTTCCTATAATGGTTGATATGTGAATCGGTTGGAAAGAGCTTATGAGTAACCACACCATGTAATGGGACTGACTGTTTATGCTACCACTCTAGGAAATCGGTAGACTCCC